GGGGGGGGGGAAGAAGGGCCACAGACATAGCTCAGTGGAATAGTGCCTGCCTGGCAAGCTTGAGGTCCTGAGTTCAATTCCCAATACAATAAAAAAAAAAAGATAATGTTATGTGCATATACTTACTCCCTAATATTAACGGGTTAATGTAAACTTCATGTACTAGTAAAATTAAAACAGTAACAACCAAAAAAATCCCCAATGATATGACAGTATTACGATTTACTGAAATGGAGAGGTGAGAGTCATGGTACAGAAATGGCAGGTCATGTTATGAATCTATATGTACATTATGGAAACACTTTAGTAAATATATAATAATAAAGATGATCCTGGGCACCACATACTGAGCCGGCTACCAAGACCAATCGCGGTGGCGCACGCTTGTAATCCAAGCGCCGGGGAGGCTCAAAACAGGAGGATCACTGCGAGTGAGTCTGAACCGCGTTGTGAGACCCGGTACCAAACACAAAACAACTGAATTGTGAGAACATGGTTCCAGGCCGGCAGGGGGTGCGCCCGCCCGGGAGACCAGCGAATCCTAGATTAGAGGACCTGAAGCCAGGCAGAGCTCCAGCGCTGGGGAGGCTGCCTGGGGCGCGCATGAGAATGGTGTTTGCGCCTAGTCCCCACAGCAGGTATCTATCTGGTCTGACTTCAGTCTGAGGAGGTTCGAGAGGGGCAAGGTCTTTCCGTCGTTCGGGGGCTCACCGTATGAGGAGCCATGACATCTTCCAGCACCACGGCCAGGACCCGCCGAGAAGCCTTTTCCAGGGGTGAAGGGGCCCCCTGGGGCTGCAGCCTCGGTCGTTTCGGGCTCCTGGCTTCGCGTAACGCTCGAGCTAGGGGCTGACGGCACAAATTCGGCCGGCCAGAAGGGCTAGAGAGCGGAAGAAAGAGGACAGTCGCTTGAACCTGGAGTTGGCCCTCGTTTCCCAATACGGCCACCAAGATCCCCATCTCCCCGGCTCAAGACAGGTGGGCGGGGTGCGCTCTCACCTGGGGTCCCCAGGCAAGTCCATGGGGGAAACGGCGGCTTCAAGGGGTCCCTGGGGGATCCCAGGCTGCGGCCTGGGATGAGGGGGGAGCGGGGGAGCGCAGAGTGAGGGCCGGCCCTTTCCCAGGGGCTCCGCCCTTCATGATCCACCCGAAGCCGAGACAGCCCACAGGCCGGAGCGCTGAGGCGCGGCAATGGCGCCCCCGACTGACTGCCCGGAGAGGGAGTCCTCTCGTCGCCGCGGCCTCGGATCAAATCGCTCGCACCCTGCCTTGGCACCTGCCGCAAGAATCTGGACAGTGGAGGGCCAAGTTCTGTCACGGCCCGAGCCTCTCCAGGCCTTTATCTCTGCATTGTGCCCTGCGATCCCCCGGGATCCGTTGGGACCCCCGTCCTGGGGGGCTCCGCGTCCGCCGAGGCGCTCTGAGACACTCCTCCCCTGGGCAAGTGGCCGAGAATTCCGAAGCAGCACTTTTCGCAGCGACGCCCCCGTCCCCAAGACTCCCCAGACGGGATCCCGACGGAAAGGATCCCACCGCGTCGCTCCTCCAATCAGACGCCGCGCGAGGTCCCTCCTCCCACTCCGAGCTGCGGCTCCGCAGAGCTCCGCTCATTTAGGGGCGGCCCGAGCTCGGGCGCCGCGGAGCGCAGCCTGGATCCCGGGGGATCCGCTGTCAGGCGCCGAGCTCTTCACGCCAACCTGGGGGAGGTCCCGCCCACAGACACCGTCCCACCCCCACCCCCGGCCGAATCCCGTCCGGCGTCCCCGCAGCCCGGGACCAGCTGGTGCAACTGTGTCCTCGCCGCCGCCCGCCCGCCGCCGCCGCCGCCCGCCCCGGCCGCCCCGCGCCCTCCCTCGCGCGCCGCTCACCGCCGCCTCCCGCGGATCTGCAGTTTTCGGCAGCTCCCACGGCCGGCTCCTTTAAAACGAGCCTCGCCTAACGCTGCCCAACCACCAAGGGCCTTCTTCCCCCGATCTCCCCGCGCCACCCAATCGCCAGACCCCTTCTTCCGTGTTGGGGAGCAGCGAAGTGAAGCCGCTGGGCGGCCATCATCGTTAGGGGCAGGACGCCAACGCGGACGGCGGCGCCATTCCGGGTGCGGGCGGATCGCGCAGTTCGGCTTGCGGTGGCGTCACTCTTAGAAGACCAGTCAGCGGCTGGACGTGAGGCCAGCGTTCTTGAGAAACTGAGGCGACCTTAGCTAAACGAAAAGTCCCTCCACGTTTCTTAAGGTCATCTTCCGGTCCTTTCGTTTTGTAGGCCAATCAATGTCGACCGAGAGCTGACGATTTGTGAAATTCCCGATGTCCTAGAGAGTCCACTTTTGAAGCCGGTTCCGGCATGGTACGGAGCGTCTGAGCTGGGCTCCCCGGTCCCGGTCCCGGCCCTGAGTGGCGGCGGCCTGGAGTCTAATGCCCGGGGGCAGGCGGCAGGAGGGCGGGCCGCCTCCGACCGCAGTGTGCGGGGCGTTCCGGACACGATGGAAGGAGCCGAGCGGGCCGGAGTTTGGGCACGCTGAGCTTCACCTTCCGGCGGGAGGACGGCGGTGTCGTGGTCTTAGAGGGCTCCCGTTGGGGGTGCCACTGCGGGGGCCCAGAGACCGCATCATGCTTACTTGGTGGAAGAATAAGGTCAGGGGTGGGAGACTCTCGTGGAGCCTTTGCCAGAAGTTGGTGGGGAGGAAGTGGAAGGTGCTGGGCTTTTCTAACACCTAAAGGTGCCCTCACCGTCTCCCCAAATCTGTGGCTGCACTAGTTCTCCTTCCCCCCAAATTTCGTTTTTGTTGTGCCCACCCACCCCTACCGCCCCGAGTTTGTTTGCTTGTTTGGCGGAACTGGGGATTGAACTCAGGCCCTTGCGCTTGCCAGGCAAGCACTTATTCTACTGAGCTATCTCCCCAGCTTCCTCCGAGTTGTTTTTTTTTTTTTTTTTTTTCTTTTTAATTTGCTATGTTAGCCCAAGTTGGACCCCTGTTGGGAGCCGCTGAAGCTAAAATTGATCCTGTGTGCGAGGGCAGGATGAGGCCTCATTGTCCTTGCAGTCAGCCACGCCTAACCCAGCGCTTGTCTTCTTGCCTGTCTTTGCCTCATTCCTGCCGCCGTTTCTTCCTGGGTACAAGGGATCACACTGAGAGACCAACGTCTCTGCAGCCCTCAACTTGAAGTGGTCCTCCTGCCTTAGACTCCTGAGTGCTGGGACTACAGTCCCGCAGAACTTTGCGTTCAGCTCTTGTTCTTTGGCTTCAGGGGTGGAACCCAGGGCCTCACTTATTAGGCGGGTGTTCTACCCCTGAGCTGCTTCTCCAGCGCTTTTTCTTTTAAAATGTTTTGAGGCAGTATCTCGCTAAATTGCACAAGCTGGCCTTGAACTTGAAGCCTAGAGCCCTGTATCTCAAATGAGGGTGCAGATGCCCAGGCTTGGAGGTGCAATACATGGGAGGCAGAGGCCGGAGGATTGCTGGGAGTTCACAGCTAGTTTGGGCTACATGGTGAGTTCAAGGCCTAGTTTGGACTACACGGTGATACCCTGTCCGAACAGCAACAAAAAGCCAGCGCAGTTGTAGTGCACATGGGTAATCCCACCACTTGGGCAGAGGCAGGAGGACTGATGAGTCTGAGGCAGCCTGAACTACATAATGAGTTCAAGCCTGGCCTGAATT